CCATCAGATTCACAGGGCTGCTTTTCTTAATAAGCCTGCTGAAAATGTAGGAATTGGCAATTCCTGTAACAACTGCAGGCTGAATGTCAAGATGGCCACCATTTTTCAAATGTTAATAAATACTTACGTTCCAAGACCAATAAAAAAAAAAAACATTATTTAATAAGTACCAGAAAATCAAACCTGAGACTATTAGTGATGGGAAAGAGGAACCAACTGACTTCTGCAAGCCACAGCTCTTGCTGAGAACTTTTTGGTGGTTGCTCATGTTTGATCTAGTAGAAGGAGGTCAATAATATCTTGATCAGAGAGACAACTAAGATTTCTGACAATCATATTTATGAGTGCCAGACAGCACGAGTGGTATAATGAACAGTTTAGCAATATGCATGAGTCCCAATTTCCAGCTAGACCAACACTGTCCATCCATGTATTCATCAGGGCAACTGATGTTTTGGGCTTTCTCTAACACCTGTGAAGGTATGTGATGCTCTTCCTCCAGACTGGCCAAAAGGAAGACCCCTTCAGGTCAGCTCCTGCAGGCTGAAAACTTGTACGAGAGTCTTCCGCAATCTTGGGCCTCTCAGATCTGTTGGGATGTGCTGGCTGGGAATTTGGGGAGTTTTCATTTATTTTATTTACTTAGGAATTTATAAACTACATCAGTTGAGGCTACTCTAAGCAGGGTATGAAAGCCGCAGCTGAGGCCAGTGCAATAATAACAATAAATATGCAATAGCTTACATAACAGAAATACAATATCACATGATGGTAAAAATCGTAATTAATATAACATGCCTGGCACTGGGAGTTCTACGATGCTCAAGTCCCAAAGGCCTTCAGGAACAGCCAAGTTTTTATGAGTCTTTGGGAGGTCAGGAGAGTGGGAACTACCCTTGGCTTAGAGGACAGAGGGAGGGAGCCTCCACAGAGAATGCCCACTTTCTCTCTGTCTCTCTCTCTCTCTCTCTGTCTCTCTCTCTCTCTCTCTCACACACACACATCATTGCACTTCCCAGTAGGTGGGTAACTTTCAGTTGCAGTCCTAACAGATCTGGAAGGAAAAAGGATGATATAAACCTCTCTAGCTTTGTGTTCTGATTCCACCAGAGGTTCATCTCAGGTCCTCACATGAAGAACAAAGGCAACAGAGGTTTTCATTGACTGCATGATTTCATAAAGAGGTAACTTCATAAAGAGGAAATTAGCAAGCTAAATAGGTAGCCCTTGAGTTCTAGTGTACTGTTTTTCATTTATTTTATAAAAAAGATGTTAAAGCCATCTTCTGGGGGGACCTCAACATACTAAGCAGAGCTACAAGATTACAGTCCATAAACATTAGCAGTCAAAATGAATCACTAGAGTTCTCTTCAAAGCCAACAACAATAAGATCATATGTGCTATTTTCTAGGTTGGACAACTGGGAAACAGGACTGCTACATACTGTAGTAGTACAAAGGCTGGACTACAACGCTTGGGTTACTACTGAACCTACAAAGCTTGGGCTAACATTTTGAAAACTAAGATTTCATACCAGCCTTTTGTTGGCTGTGCTCACTTCTTACTTCCTCAACCACGGTGCCCCACAATGTGTGGATCAATGTTCAGCATCCTATAACCACCCTCGTTGTAACTGCAAATTCTGCAAGTTGAAGTCTACACAACTGGAAGAGAACAAGGTTAGGAAGTCTGACTTAATACATAGTCCATCTCAAGACTCTACCATCTCATTCTACTGCATGCAAAGACTAGGTCTAATTCATTGGCAGTAAGTGTGAGTTATACCAAGATCACGACCAAGAGAGAAAAAATGGAAATTGTGCCAGAAAAAGAGAGGACCAGCCTTCTGGTGAGACACCTGTCTCAGATGGCTATGAAATCAAGAGCAATAATCTATTAACAGAACCTTGCTGAATTGTCCCTAGCTAGAAAAGATTGGGTGTCTGGTGTAGGCAGATTTAGATACTGTGGAGTCCTTGGGGTTCTCTGAGCTTGGTTCTTTTCCCACAAACGTTTCATTACCCGGCTAGGTAACATCTTCAGTGCTGGAATGGGATGGGGTTTTTTATATACTCTTGCATGCCCTGCCAGTGTTGTTGGGGGTGGGGGGGTTGTTTTGTTCTGTTTTTTGCCTCTGGTAGTTCCTTGATTAGGGTATTGTTTGCTGCTTGCTCGTGTGCCCTGTGGTAACCTCTGCTTATCTTGGTGATAATTGATGGTGAGGAGCTGTTCTGATCTTTTTGTCTCTTTTGAATAGTGTGTAGATGCTGTTTATCTCTATGTGTCTGTTAACTGCTGCCTTGTT